TTTATTTATGGAAAAATTTAAATGAAATTTGATACATAGGCACTTGGAATAAAGGAAAATCTAGCGCCAGTTTCAAAATTTTATTTTGCGCATGCGCAGTGCCAACTTTTTTTTATCTATGGAAGCATTTAAGTGAAATTTGATATTTAGGAGCTTGGAACAAAGGAAAATATAACATTAGTTTCAAAATTTAGGTTTGCGCATGCGCAGTTCCAACTTTCTTATTTAGAAAAGCATTGAAATGAAATTCTTCTCATAAACTGAAATTGAAGTAGCACGTCAACAATGGATTGCCCATGTGCAACGCTATCTTTCATATTTGTGGGCGGATTTTTACGATTTTAACAGAAGTTGCATCTTACAAATGGGAAATGAATGCAAGTGGAAATGCGCTTTATGTAAATCGTTTACGATTACTTTTTAACTTGTTCAATGTTTCAATCCCAGTGCATATCCTTTATGCTCTCTTGCTCCCTATTTTGTAAATGGTAAATCAACAAAATTTTAACGTGTATTACCTGCCGTAATTATAAACATGAAGAATTAAAAACATATAAAATGTTTTGCAAAAGAGATATGCATTTACTTCCTCAGAAGATATAGTTGTACCTTCATAATGAAGGTACAATTCCTTAATTTTGAAACTGTAATATCTATTCGTTTATATGTCCAGATTTTAATATTTCTGTAGGCGTTTAAAGAGGCAAAATGTCGAGTATGTTGTTATCGTGATATAATTGCTAATTACTAAATAAGTTTTAGTATTGTTTCCTTTTATCGGTTAATAGTGATTTACTTACATAAAAGTCAGGAAAACGAAACATTACTGGCGAGGAAATATTGAAGAACGAGACCTCTTTGAGACCGAGTACTTTAATTTCCGAGTCAAGTGTCATTATCCTGGCTTTTATGTAAATAACTTTTAACCGATTTTGGGTAAAAAATTTAACATAAATTATTGAATTAAAAATCAAAAGCAAAAATGTGTACCCCAGAATTTAAACAATGTAAAAAAGACTACCAGAATTCCAAAACAAGACTTTCAAAACTGCAACATAATGCAATTGAATTCCAAAACATACAAATTACTTACGAAGATTTCCATTGACTTCCAAAGAATTCCAATCGATTCCAATGAGAATTTTAAGCTAAGTATGTCTCAGGTTCAAAGAATAAAACCTAAAAACTCAAAAAATTTAAAAGTGGCACTTGGTTTCCAAACATTCCAAAATATGTAATTTCATGAATTCTGCAGTGGCTACTTTTGACAGTTTTTTTGTAATGAAAATTCAAATCAATTCAAGGTACCCATTTAACAAATACAGTTTTCGAATTTTCAAAACTTGTGAAAATGTATGAAAAATTTTAAAATGAATAGAAGCTTTATTTGAGTGCATCATAAAAGGCAATATATATTGTGCACGAGTATATTTTCCAAAGACATAGTTCGAAAAACACTTTGTAAATTCGAAAACTGATTTAAGTTTATGATCGATCTTTTACATCAAATTTACTCTAGTTTTGACATAAATTTTAAAAAAATCGTAATACTAACAATCAATTCATCTGTTAGTTAGGCATTCTGTATTTAGTGTCATTGTCATTGAAAATTTAGGGTAGCGAGGTGAAGCGGCGAAACCTGTGAATTTTTTTCACAGAGGACGCCAAGTGACTGCTTCTTATCGCTTGTTGTGACTGTATGTTTTGCACGGAACTAAATTCACCTCACCCGTCACGGGACGCTTCAAGTATAATATACAGTGTGGCTTCTTTAATAACTGTAAATAACTCAGATTTTTTTAATTTAATTGTCTGTTGAACGACTGCGTGCGTGGTATGTGTAAAAGGAAGCTATCAATGCTTTTCTTTCTTCCAGCGATGTTGTTTTAATTTCTTTATTATTGCGGAATAAATTATTGACTTTGTTTAATTTTTGGAATTATCGGAAGTTGATGGATTTGTCATTGTGACACGGGCCGTGCGTCCACGGGGAAAATAATGACACATCTAAATTTAAAGGTTGTTTTGATTTGAGCTAGCTGGACCGGTGTTTTATGGGTAGCTTATGACCGTTCGCCATTGCACATGGCATTTTTTATTTGGCGCCCAACGTGGGGCACACAGCAATATCGATCCATGTCAAAACTTTAAGAGCGAATATCTACAAAACGAAATGTTGGAAGAGGGTAGGTACTCATAAAGGGCAAGTGGAACATCTGAACGAAACACATCTACTGGTGATGTCAAAACATTCAGTGCCAATAGCTGCAGAATAGAGTGTCGTAGGAGGTACTCTCAAAGAGCAGTTGGAACGTCTAGAAGAGATATATCTACTGGCTATGGGAAAACTTAAGTGTGAACATCTCGAAAATGGCGTGTCGTAGAAAGGGATAATGCAATATTGCGAAGAATTTCTCTAAGGGCTTGATTATTCTTATGATTCTTATGATGTTGATTATTATATGTAATATTGATATATTATATAGCACGCATTGAATGTGGTTCAGGTGTGGCCTTTACATGTTTATGTATAACGAGCCGCCACACTCCTCCGTCCCTTTAATCTTCTGCCAAGAATGAACATAGGTAAATATTGCTGCTTATAACCCTATTATTTTCGTTTAAAAAAATGCCTTTATTTTCACAAGAATTTAGTTTCAAGGATACTTGCATTACTGGGGTGATTTATTGTGCATATTATGTTATTTTTGTAGCAATTTTTAGTTTTGTAGTTTAGTATCGTCAACTACTAATAAAGTACTAACCAATTTTATTGAAAGAATGGACTTGTCATTCACCCCAATCTAAAGAATTAGGTACTAAAAAAATACTTTGAAACGTTTAATGTATCCGCAGTTTTAAAAACAAGTTTCTAAATCAGCATATGCATGATGAAAGCGCATTTTTGGTAATACAGGTCAGTTTTATTAGCAAAGTTTAAAATTATAAATCTCACGAGTAATCCAACTCAGAATAGACTAGAGCCTGCACATCTACACTATAACAGAAACCTTTTAGTGAAAATCTCTAGCTATTGTAATTGCTGAGATCTCAGCCGGGCAGCCAGCCGGCCGGCCACAACGACTATAACAGCGTTTTTTTTTCAAGGCAGGTCAGAAATATTTATTTCACCCACTACTTACGGATACAAATACTGAGGTAAGCCCTTATTTAAGCTCACAAGGCAAAAGGCGAGGCAAAAGGCATGGTAAATGCTACCCTAAATGGGTTCTGTAACATGGTATAAGTACAAGAAGCTCATAGGTTGTTCTACCAATGAAAACAAATAAGTGGAATTTTGTAATCACAGTAACTGTACTTAAGTGTGCCAAAACGTTTATCTTCCCACAGAATGCCCACAAATTTTCAGGCAATCACAAGGTTCATTAATGAACAATAAACCTGTGTTTCATCAGTAAGATAAATGTAGATAGCGAAAGATCACATTGCAAATTCACGCAACGAATCGCGTAATAAAAAAAGTATCAGAAAACATATTTTTGAATCAAACAAAATGTTTATGTGCAAAATTTTGATCCATTTCGTAAGAAAAATAAAGAACAGTCAACTTCTAAGAATAAGTTCAATTTGTTTGCATTATAAGACCAATTTCCCTTAAAACAATTTCATTCATTTGTCCACTCTCAATGAAATCAGTTACAGTTTTCGTTTTGGAACCAACTCTTTCTGAAATCGCCATATAAAAAAACTTATGGGGCTGTGTTGGACGAAAAATAATTTTCCGTTGGAAAAACAGTGGCCAATCTTTGGATCTACAAACTGAAATTATTATCAAATTATTGTAGGATCCAGATGAAGTGAATGAACATTTAAACATTGTTTTGCCCTTCCCACAACTACGTCGTTCACTATGCGCGGTGACGTATGTAGTTGTATCAATATGCTAATTGTGGGCCAAACATATGGCATGAAGTCAATTAAAAGGCAAGGTAAAGAAAGATGCTGTCCTACGGAATAATTTTGTTGTCAAATTTATGCGTGAACGATAAAAACTGTCCAAAAATCTACATAATAACCTTGCTTGTAACCTTCGCAAACAATGCATTATGAAAGAGCTGTCATAAATTATACCTGACAGTGGTACACATTTCTAACAAATATTGACGATATCATTAGACACTTAGGCACAAAAAGTTCTCCACCTGAACCCAGTGTTCGTTACCCTCAACCACTGAAAATATCCAACCTACATTTCTCCAAGACTCCAAAGTTGGTTTCACGATGAGACAACGGCTTCCTTTGTTTCGCCACTATCCAAAAATAAGCACAAAAGATGATGAAGATATTTTTTAGGCTAATACATACAACCTTTGAGATTTTCTAATGGCAAAGCCGGCTGCATTTAAAGAAATGAGTCATACTCGTACGCATGTATGTAGCTGCAAATTGAA